CACCCCTCATGCAGATCCGCGGGGTCAGGGTCCAAAATCACATGGGATTTGCCACATTTCTGAAATTCGGCGCCACCCCTCACGCAGATCCGCGGGGTCAGGGTCCAAAAACATATGGGATTTGCCACATTTCTGAAATTCGGTGCCACCCCTCACGCAGATCCGCGGGGTCAGGGTCCAAAAACACAAGGGATTTGCCACATTTCTGAAATTCGGTGCCACCCCTCACGCAGATTCGCGGGGTCAGGGTCCAAAAACACAAGGGATTTGCCACATTTCTGAAATTCGGTGCCACCCATCACGCAGATCCGCGGGGTCAGGGTCCAAAAACACAAGGGATTTACCACATTTCTGAAATTCGGTGCCACCCCTCACGCAGATCCGCGGGGTCAGGGTCCAAAAACACAGGGGATTTGCCACATTTCTGAAATTCGGTGCCACCTTCACGCACATCCATCGCAAGGCGTGGTAACCCAAACTGCGAGAACTCCCGCGGCCCTTTAATCGCAAGGTGTGGTAACCAAGCCCGTAAACCATACACGTCTTACCAATCGCCAGGTGTGGTAACCCCTCTTGTTATCAGTTGGTTTTGCTGATTGCGAATCGGCTTCGCATGAAGTTTCGATACTGCTTCACGACAGCGCCAAGGCCTCATGACTTAGCTCTTCCATGGCCCATTCTCCGAGAGAGGGGGCCGGCGGCAGGGGGCGAAGCCCTTACGGATAATCATACCCATCATCATCATCACCATCACCATCACCATCATCATCATCATCGTCGTCATCACCATCAGCATCAGGATCAGCACCATCCTCATCATCCTCATCATCCTCATCATCATCATCCTCATCACCCCCTCCTCATCCTCATCATCATCCTCATCCCCATCCTCATCCTCATCCTCATCCTCATTATCATCCTCATCCTCATCCTCATCATCATCATCACCATCATCATCACCACCACCATCATCATCATCGTCATCATCATCATCATCAAATCCATCATCACCAGCAGCATCATCATCAGCATCACAATCACCACAACCACCATTATCATCATCATCATCATCATCATCATCATCATCATCATCATCATCATCATACCCATCACCATCATCACCAGCAGCATCATCATCAGCATCACCATCACCACCACCACCATCATAATAATCATACCCATCATCATCATCACCACCATCACCATCACCATCACCATCATCATCGTCATCATCACCATCAGCATCAGCATCAGCATCACCACCATCATCATCATCTTCATCATCATCACCATCATCATCACCACCACCCTCCTCATCCTCATCATCATCCTCATCCCCATCCTCATCCTCATCCTCATCCTCATTCTCATTCTCATCCTCATCCTCATCCTCATCCTCATCCTCATCATCATCCTCATCCTCATCATCAACAACAACAGCATCATCCCCCTCCTCCTTCCTCCTCCAAGCGCTGCCGCCGGCAGGGCCCTCAGAAGCACCGCCCGCAAACGCGCACGCCCTCCGTGGGAGCGGCCGCGCGGCGAGTGCGGGCGCCAAGACGAAGTCCGCCTCAGCCGCAGGAAACAATATTATAATTACCGAGCCGTGCGCAACAGACTCCGTCACTCCTACATCCCCATTCCTTTCCTGTTCGTTCTCCTCCTCTCTGGGAGCGGGGAGGAGGACCCCGAAATCCGTCGTTGCGAATATCGTGCAGCATCCCGACAAACGAAGACCAGAGCCCTGGACCTGATCTCTCTGCGGCATTTTTCGAAACGGATCGATCCATGAGGGTCCCGGGGCCCGAAACCAGGCGAAAACGCAAGGCGTGAGACGTTTGCCTCGCCCGGGATGTCTATAGGTCGGTGTTCCAAAGCCGTAGATTCCGGGCCACACCTCGGCTCTCTGGCGGCCGATCGGAACGATTTTGGGCACCCTGGGACAGCTCTCGGCGAGGCGCAGCTGCTGGGAAGCACTCGCGGGCGAGAACTTCGGACACAACCCGCGAGAGCGTCCGAGCGAGTCTGTCCAGGGCTGACCTCCTCCGACGTCCAAAGGGGGGCGCCGTGGCGTGGCGACACGAGGCTACCCTCGGCGCAAAAGGCCGCGGCACGGCGCCAGCATCGCGCGCCAGCGGAGGGCCGGCCTCGGGGAGACGCGAGGCTCCTCTGGCCCTTCCAGGAGGGCTGAGAATGGGGGAACGAACAATGACATACACATAAAAACTCGGAGCTCCGCGCGGATTTCTTGGATCCGCGCTGGACCCCCTCCCTGGCGCGCGGAGCGCGCCAGGGGCGGCGCCGGAGGCGTCGCCAGGGGGCTTAAGTGTCGATCCGAGAAACCCGCGCGGAGCTCCGAGTTTTTATGTTTATGTCATTGTTCGTTTCCCTAAAATAGCACCTGGGCCCTGACGTTGGACTTCCTGTGGAGGTTCTCGGCGGTCCGGATCGGTCTGCTGGAGAGCTAGGTCCCGGCATTAAGTCGGGCCTGTCCCCCTACAGGGGGATCTTCGACGAAAAATGAAAAACACCCCAAAAATATCCTAAAGGGGTCCCCAAATACTCCAAGAGTAGTCCCCCGACTATGTTTGGACTACTTTCTGACTATTTCTGGGGTATCTTTTATTTTTCGTCGGAAATCCCCCCTGTAGGGGGACACGCCCGACTTAATCCTGGCACTCTGGACATGCGGGCGGGGCGGGGCCTCCGAGCCGCTGGCGCGGAGGCCCCTCTTTTCTGGCTCTGGCGGGGCTGGGAAGAGGCTCGTGCGCACGCGCGCGCAGACGAGCAGTCCCGGCTGGTCTCAACGTAGGTCGGGGGCCACATGCGCGCTCCGGGTTTGGCCTCCCCGCGGCCCCCGAAAGTCGCGCACCAACGTTCACTCGTGCCCAGAGTCACTCTTGCGTGTAGCCGACCGTCACCCTACTAGGGGGCCACATGCGAACCCTACCGCTACCCCCCACGATTTCTGAGGGGGAGGGTGGGGTTCACTTCGTTCGGGAGCTTCCAATTGAAGTGAACCCCACCCTCCCCCTCAGAAACCGTGGGGGGTAGGGGTAGGGTTCGCATGTTGCCCCCTAGTAGGGCGACGGTCGGCCACACGCAAGAGTGACTCTGGGCAATTACGAGTGACTTTTGGTGCGCGACTTTCGGGGGCCGCGGGGAAGCCAAACGCGGAGCGCGCACGCCGCTGCCATCGCATCGAATTTCGCCATCCGGTGACCCCATCATGGGCCTGCACCAGAAAGGCCACTCCGGCGAAGGGTCAATCTTACGTCTAGTCTAAACGAGATCTATACATATCCACCTGCCCCCTGGCTGGGCCCTTCCTGGGCCAGGGAACCGTGTGTACGACCTCCTGGCCAAGCCGGGAGCGCGTGGCGCATGCACTGCTGCCGGGCTCAGGATGGGCCCGGCCAGGGAGCAGCGGATATGCGCAGAATTCGTCGCCCCATCAACGGGCCACTCCCCGGGTATCTGGAGATCCCGGCGGCTCGATTCTTGCACGCCCGGCCATGGCGCCCTGTCTCGGGCCCCGGGGGCCTCGCGGATCGATCGGGCTCGAGAGATGCCGCAGAATGATACGGGGTCTGGGGCTCTGCTCGTGCTTTCTCGATGTTGCGACCTTTTCGTGACGTCGGACTTCAGGGTAGCCTCAGGTCGGGCATGTCCTCCTACAGGCGGATTTTGGAAGAAACGATAGCCAAACAGTAGCCAAAAAGTCAGTCCAGCCAAACAGTAGCCAAACGGATTTCGAACAGAGCCAAAAGACCGCGACGCCTTGTCCCCAGACTACTTTGTAAAGCTATTCTGACTATCCCTCCTGTAGAGGGCCATGCCCGACTTCAGGGCAGCCCTGGCTGGCCTCGACGGGCCCCCCGAGCAGTCCGGGGCGGCCTCGACGCCGCGGCGCCGCCGGGCGCCCCCCGCCAGGGCGCTTCCGCGACCCAGGGCATGACTACCCACCAGACCACCGCTGCCTGACCCGAAGGTCCCAATTTCGGGTGTGGGGGAGTGCGGGTTCGTCCCGTCTGTGTTTTCAATTGTGCCCCGACCCCCCCCCCCACTGGAAGTGGAGGGCAGACTGAGGCCTTCGGGTCGGGTGGGGGTGGTTTGGTGGGTGGTGAGGGTAGGGTCATTGAGGCCGCCCTGCACTCCTCGGGGGGCATATGAAGGCCAGCCCAGCTGGGACTGCCTGGAGGTGCTGCCTGCTGTCCGCCACCCGAAGACTTACCAACGCCCGCCACTTTGACATCCTCGCGTCGCGCAGGAGTTGCGGCGTCAAGCTTTTGGTATTCTTTTGGTCTCCGGGGGACCTTCCCAAGTCCCAGGGCCATCAACGACGTAAGATACGTAGCACCCCGCAATTGCGGATAAGAGTGAGGGGGCGGGCGCGGGCGACGCGGGCGTCGTCGAGCCGGCGGACCTCGTGGCCTCCACCTTCCCTGTCGATGGCGATCTCCTCCTCCTCCTCCTCCTCCTCCTCCTCCTCTTCCTCGTCCTCGTCCTCATCGTCATCGTCATCCTCCTCCTCCTCGTCCTCCTCCCTCTCTTCTTCCTCGTCCTCCCTCTCCCCCCTCGTCCTTTCATCATCGTCCTCCCATTTTCGTCCTCCCCCTCATCGGCCTCCATCATCGTCCTCCCATTGTCGTCCATCATCATCATCATCCTCCCCCTCCTCCCCCTCCTCGTCCTCCTCCTTCCCCTCCTCCCCCTCCTCCCCCTCCTCGTCCTCCTGCTCCTCCTCCTTTTCTCTCTCCACATTATCCTTACATCCTCTCTTCTTCCGCGTTCTCCTCGTCCCCGGTTTACTCCTCCTGCCTCCCCCTCCTTTCCCAAGATAACTGCAACGCAGTCCTTTCTTCCACTTTATGCTCCCCGCCTTCTCTGATCAAGGCAACTCGCCAGGGCAAAGTTGCTGGACGGGCTGGTGTGGATGCGCGGGGCTTGAAGAGGTCCTTGCGGGCTCAGACGGCATGCGAAAATCCGCCGCCGCGCTTGTGCGGCATTGGTTTGTTCAGTGAGCGTGGTTTAGGTCGCGGGTGGGTCGCGGGCTCTCCACCTCCACCTGGAAGGAATGCAAAAGCAGCCCGCCGCAGGCGCCAACAAAAATTGGTTTGTTCACTGAACGTGGTTTGGGTCGCGGGTGGGCCGCGGGTTCTCCACCGGGAACGAATGCAAAAAATGCCCGCCGCAGCGCCGAAAAATGTAGTTTGTACCCTGAACGTGGTCGCGGATGGGCCGCGGGCTCTCCACCTGAAGCGACTGCAAAAGATGCCCGCCGCAGGCGCCGAAAAATGCGGTTTGTACCCTGAACGTGGTTTGGGTCGCGGGTTGGTCGGGAGTTGGTCACGGGGTGGGTCGCGGGCTCTCCACCTGGAAGGAATGCAAAAAAAACCCGCCGCAGGCGCCGAAAATGGTGGTTTGTACCTTCAACGTGGTTTGGGTCGAAGGTGGGTCGCGGGTGGGTCGCGGGGTGGGTCGCGGGTGGGTCGCGGGTGGGTCGCGGGGTGGGTCGCGGGGTGGGTCGCGGGGTGGGTCGCGGGTGGTCGCGGTGGGTCGCGGGTGGGTCGCGGTGGTCGCGGGTGGGTCGCGGGGTGGGTCGCGGGGTGGGTCGCGGTTGGGTCGCGGGTGGGTCGCGGGTGGGTCGCACGGGTGGGTCGCGGGTTGGGTCGCGGGTGGGGTCGCGGGGCGGGTTGCGAGCTGGGACGACGACAACAACAACAACAACAACAACGAACAACAAACAACCCACACAACAACAAACAATCAACAACAACAACGCAACAACACAACAACAACAACAAACACACACTTACTAAAAAAAAAAAAAAAAAAAGAAAAAAAAAAAATAAGAAAAAAACTTAAAAAAAAAAGCACGTGGACACTCCGTTCTCCCCAGTGCCAGGGTTTTCATAGGAGGCGGGCAATACCCCCACTTTGTGGGGGGGCCGGTTCAAGCTCTACCAAATTTCCAAACGACTCTTCGCCACCACCCACACCCAGCTTCCCGCCCTATGACGTTCGGACACTTCACTTCGTGGCATGCGGACGACCGTGGCTACTCTTCAGGGCCCCGCGGCCGACGACGACGGCGTGCGCGCGCGAAAAAAAAACGAATGTGTCCCGCATGGTATTATTTGACAGGGATGATGGCCCTGGCAGGTGCGCAACCGTTGTTGCAGAAGTTCGAAAAAGTTGCTCGCAAAAGCCCGTTTGACAGAAATGTTTAAAAAGTGTTGGGTTTCCTACGAATCCGCAAGAGCGCGCGGGATGAGATTTTGACATTTTTTTTGACAAACCATTTTTTTTTATGTTTTTATGTTAAAATCGCTACGAAAACTAAGGTTTTGGAAGGATTTCGTCTTGCGCGCGCGAATGTCCACTTTACCTTTTCTTTTGCAAGGGATTCTTGAAGTTTGGATATGTTAGAACAAGAAATGACAACTTTAGCTTATTTTTTGCAAGGGAAAACCGATCGTAACAACACAACCGGATCTGGATCACATCGTTTTACCTGAGACTTCCTTACGAAAATGATGAAAATGTGGCTGCGGCCTAGGCGCGGCGGGGGGGCCGCGCACCAGGGGTCCCAACAATAATTATTCTTTAGAAGAAATAATGTTCAACAACAACAACAACACCAACACCAACACCAACACCAACAGCAACAGCAACAACAACAACAACAACAACAACAATTACTAGCACGTGGGGACACACCGTTCTCACCAGTGCCAGGGTTTTCATAGGAGGCGGGCAATACCCCCACTTTGTGGGGGGGCCGGTTCAAGCTCTACCAAATTTCCAAACGACTCTTCGCCACCACCCACACCCAGCTTCCCGCCCTATGACGTTCGGACACTTCACTTCGTGGCATGCGGACGACCGTGGCTACTATTCAGGGCCCCGCGGCCGACGACGACGGCGTGCGCGCGCGAAGAAAAAACGAATATGTCCCGCATGGTATTATTTGACAGGGATGATGGCCCTGGCAGGTGCGCAACCGTTGTTGCAGAAGTTCGAAAAAGTTGCTCGCAAAAGCCCGTTTGACAGAAATGATTAAAAAGTGTTGGGTTTCCTACGAATCCGCAAGAGCGCGCGGGATGAAATTTGACATTTTTTTTTGAAAAACCATTGGTTTTTTGATGTTTTTATGTTAAAATCGCTACGAAAACTAAGGTTTTGGAAGGATTTCGTCTTGCGCGCGCGAATGTCCACTTTACCTTATTTTTTGCAAGGGATTCTTCAAGTTTGGTTATGTTAGAACAAAAGAAATGTCCACTTTAGCTTATTTTTTGCAAGGGAAAACCGATCGTAACAACACAACCGGATCTGGACCAACCCGTTTTGCCTGAGACTTCCTCACGAAAATGATGAAAATGAGGCTGCGGCCTAGGCGTGGCGGGGGGGGCGTGCACCGGGGGCCCCAACAATAATTATTCTTTAGAAGTAATAATGTTCAACAACAACAACAATTACTAGCACGTGGGGACACCCCGTTCTCACCAGTGCCAGGGTTTTCATAGGAGGCGGGCAATACCCCCACTTTGTGGGGGGGCCGGTTCAAGCTCTACCAAATTTCCAAACGACTCTTCGCCACCACCCACACCCAGCTTCCCGCCCTATGACGTTCGGACACTTCACTTCGTGGCATGCGGACGACCGTGGCTACTATTCAGGGCCCCGCGGCCGACGACGACGGCGTGCGCGCGCGAAGAAAAAACGAATGTGTCCCGCATGGTATTATTTGACAGGGATGATGGCCCTGGCAGGTGCGCAACCGTTGTTGCAGAAGTTCGAAAAAGTTGCTCGCAAAAGCCCGTTTGACAGAAATGTTTAAAAAGTGTTGGGTTTCCTACGAATCCGCAAGAGCGCGCGGGATGAATTTTTGACATTTTTTTTAAAAACCATTTTTTTTTTTTTGATGTTTTTATGTTAAAATCGCTACGAAAACTAAGGTTTTGGAAGGATTTCGTCTTGCGCGCGCGAATGTCCACTTTACCTTATTTTTTGCAAGGGATTCTTGAAGTTTGGTTATGTTAGAACAAGAAATGTCCACTTTAGCTTATTTTTTGCAAGGGAAAGCGGGCCGTAACAAAACAACCGGATCCGGACCAACCCGTTTTTGCCTGACCCGGACGAAAATGATGAAAATGTGGCTGCGGCCTAGGCGCGGCGGGGGGGCCATGCACCAGGGGTCCCAACAATAATTATTCTTTAGAAGTAATAATGTTCAACAACAACAAACAAACAAACAAACAAACAAACAAACAAACAAACAAACAACAACAACAACAAACAACAACAACGAGAATCCGCACCGCGGAATTCCACTTCAGCCACGCACCCAGGGACAGTGATTGACCGTTCGGCCCCCTCACTCTGATTTGGTGATTTTCGGCCTCCAGTTTACCAAGCCCCTGGACGGTCAACAAAAACGACTCAGGATGGAAGGCCGGTCCCCAAGAAGGGGCCCACACCTCTGGGCAACCGCGCTGTGGAAGAAATCACGGCGTCGTATGTCCGGGCTGGCCCAGGTGCCCGGGAAATCCGTCTTAGGGTCCACCCCGCGCTTCAGGGCGGATCCAGCTGTGGCGACGAGAAGCCTCGAGGATGGCCCAGCAAGGGACGCAGATCGCGGCGCAGGGGAGCGCGGGCCGCTGACGCCTCGGCTGGCCCTCCTTTGAGAAAAAGGGCGTGCAGCTGCTCGGGGGGGGGCGCCGTCGGCTCCGGGTCCTGCACGGCTCGTGGAGCGAATTCGGCACGGGCCCGCCGCCGCAGACTACGCAGGTGGCGGTCCGGCGATCGATGTTTCATCCACATCCACTCCCACGCTCGAGCCCCGACCACTCGAGGGCCCAGGGCGGCGGCATCGACAAACCATCGTGCGTCAGGAGCCACGCTCCTTATGTCCATGCCCCGCTGCCTCTGGCGCTCGGAGCGGGGGGGGGGGGCAGCAGCAGGGGTGTGGATCGAACGTCGATCGCCCCGAGCGGCGGGTGCACCTACTGGGAAAATCTCGGCGGCACGCAGGAGGGTGGCCCTGGCCAGGAGGGAAACCATCTGGCGCGCGGCTTGCCGACAGGTTGCGCGCGACGATGATGGCACCTCGCGGCCTGCCCTGCTTGGGCTTGGCCCCCCCGCGCCCCCCGAGAGCCGCGCGCCAGGAGTCGCGGCTCGGCGAAGGGCCGCTCTCGCGTGCAGCCGAAGAGCATTCCGGCCTCACGTGCCAGGCAGCCCAGACGAGCACCGTGACAGGACTGCCGGCTGCCCGAGTGCAGCGCAGACGCAGCAAAAGTTGTCCACGGCGCCGGGCCTGGCGGCCGCTCGCGCGCTCTTCCTTCAGCAGCAGGAGCACAGGGAAATAGCGACACCACCACCACCAGCGCGAGGCGCCAGGGAGGGCCCTCCTGGTGGTGCGGTCCCCACCTCGCCATCGCTCGGACGTCCATTCCCTGTGTTTTCTTCGGTTTCGTGCGTGGTTCCTTCGCCAAATGATCAAGGATGCTCCTCGATGGCCCTCGCCGAAGGAAAAATGCACACGTCCGAGCGATGCCAAGCCACCCTCTCAGTCGATACATCCCCCAGCCCCAGCTCCAAGAGGCATCGTGTGCCCTCTCGCTGGAGGTGGCCCCCCCTCCGGGGGTGGTGGGGCGGCGTCGCCTCTCCCTGCCTCCGCAGCGGAGCGTCTGGTCTCGCGCGCTGGGGTGGCCGCGGTAAAAGCCCCGTGGCGGGACCTCCGCCTGCCTGGGAGCAGCGCAGGCGGAGCAGAAGTCCACGGCGCTGGCACCGGGCCCCGGAAGCTGTGCCTCGCGTGCCGAGCAGCCTCCCTGAGCCTCGCCCCCCCCCCCCCCCCGCGGACCTGCCGTGGAGCGCGCGCCAGCCAGGCTCACTCACGAGAGGCGAACATGTAGCCGTGGCGACGAGGGAGGCCTACCAGGACACAGCACGTGGGGAGCCTGGAGGGCGAGTCCTCTCCGAGCCGCCGACGTGGTGGCCTTCTCGGCGCGGGCCTTCCTGGGGACCGAGGCCTCATCCCGAATCTTTTGTGATGGCCCCGAAGATTGACAACGGCCCCGTGGAGCCCACACTTCTGGCTCATGGCCAGCCCGCCGCCCGGCTTTGCTCGAGGCGCCCGATGCCTGGAAATCCTGCTGCTTCTCCTCCTCCTTCTTCGTCCCCTCGACGTGTTCTGGGGTGTACCATAGGCCACCTGCTGCTGTGGAGTATGCTACACCTTCTAGGATGCCGTCGTGTAGCAGGGACACGCGCCTGACTGGAGCACCCCTTGCCCGCACGTTGGAGACCACAAGCGCTCTGTATGACGGTTGAGTTCGACCAGTGTGTTCTCCATCACCTTGAGCCAGAGGAAATAGGACGTGCTCCGACCAGACTCATTCGAATGCGCATGCTTACATTAGCGGAGAAGCTAACCAGTGTAGGTAGGCAGGGAGAGGCTACCCAGTGTAGGTAGGCACGGCAAGTGCTCACTGACAAGGACTCCCGAGTGGCCTTCAAAACCAAAGACAAAACTACCTGATGACCCTCTTAAGATGTGTATGCGCATAGCTGAGCCTATCCCCCTGGTGATCCTCGCCGCTTAGCTTTCGGGTCATATCTCGGCTCCCTTGCGGCCGTTCGGGACGACTTGGGCACCCCTGGGACGCCCTCGGCGCGGCGCCGCTGCTGAGGAGCACCGCGAGGCTGGACAACCGCCTGGAGAGCCTGCGGAGACGTCCGCACACGCACCCCTTCCCCCTCTGAGCCCCCCTCCCCCCCCCAACTGGCCATCGCTCGGACGTCCATTCCCTGTGCTTTCTTCGGTTTTGTGCGTGGGCTGTTCGCCAAATGATCAAGGATGCTCCTTGATGGTCCTCGCCGAAAGAAAAATGCACACGTCCGAGCGATGCCAAGCCACCCTCTCAGTCGATACATCCCCCAGCCCCAGCTCCAAGAGGCATCGTGTGCCCTCTCGCTGGAGGTGGCCCCCCCCGGGGGTGGTGGGGCGGCGTCGCCTCTCCCTGCCTCCGCAGCCAACGCTGGCCCCTGCCGACGACCGCCGCGCCGCCGCCCACGCCTGGAGGCCCCCCGCGCGGGAGATCCACGCTGCCGCTCCTGGGGGGTCCCGGCGCGGGGGCCAGGCGCCCGCGCGGCACGGGGGCCGCCGCCGCTCCCACCCCCCCGGGAGGCCTCGGCGGGGGGAGGAGGAGGAGGAGGAGGAGGAGGAGGAGGAGGAGGAGGAGGAGGAGGAGGAGGAGGAGGAGGAGGAGGAGGAGGGAGGAGGAGGAGGAGGAGGAGGAGGAGGAGGAGGAGGAGGAGGAGGAGGAGGAGGAGGAGGAGGAGGACGAGGAGGAGGAGGAGGAGGAGGAGGAGGAGGAGGAGGAGGAGGAGGAGGAGGAGGAGGAGGAGGAGGCAGAGGAGGAGGAGGAGGCGGAGGAGGAGGAGGGAGGAGGAGGAGGAGGAGGAGGTGAGGAGGAGGAGGAGGAGGAGGAGGAGGAGGAGGAGGAGGGGGAGGGGAGGAGGAGGAGGGTCGCGTGCAGGAGGGCACCCTTTAGGAAGCCACGTGCGGACCCAACAGGCAACCCGCACAGATGGGATGCGCGATGAGGATGCAAAGGGTCTTGGACGCCCAATTCGAAGCGTTTCGAGCGGGGCGAGGCCAACGAGAGTGGCCGAGGACCGAGGAGGCAAGGGTGCAAGGGTACCCTTGGGAAGGTTGCCCATCCTTCCTGTGCGGATTGACTGTACCCCACCGCCCAGCGATTTTTCAAGGGGGGGGTAGGGTTCGCTCCCGAGCGAAGTGATTCCCCTCCCCCCCCGTAGAAATCGTGGGATGGTGGGATAGGTTTCGCACGTGGCCGCCGAACCCCGAGACCCGACGTCGCGAACAGAGCTGCCGCGCCGCGACAAGAAACGCCACCCCTGGAGCGGAGCCCCGTGGCACCCCGCCGTCCTGCGGCAGCCTGACGAGCCAGCTCGAACTTCAAGTCGGGCCTGTCCCCCTACAGGGGGATTTTCGACGAAAAAAAAATACCCAAAACATAATCCAAAAATGCTCCAAAAATAGTCTGGGGACTATTTTTTTTAGTATTTGTTGACCTTTTGGGGGTATGTTGGAGTATTTCTTATTTTTCGTCGAAATCCCCCTGTAGGGGGACAGGCCCGACATAACTCGAACTGCGAGAGGGCCCTGGGGCCCGAGCAGCCTGGCGAGAGAGCCAGGGCGCGGCAGGGGCCTGCACAGCGCCCGGGCCTCGGGGCCGAGCGCTGCCAAAAGGCGGCGCGGCCAACGGTGGGCTTGCTTTCCCACCGCCACCGGGTCACCACCAAGTAGGAGGGGGGAGGGGTCCTCCTCCTCCTCCTCCTCCGCCTCCTCCTCCTCCTCCTCTCTCCTCCTCCCTCCTCCTCCTCTAATACCAATACAGCGCTGCAGCGAGAATCCCATGAGTGGGCACGCCGAGACCAAAACTTACGGATCTGGCTCAGGCCAAGCCTTGAACCCTGGGGGGAGTTTCCCTTCTTTCAAGTACTTCAACATGCGCTTACCCCATTCGCCCACGCGATCGGGTCGGCACTCCCCCCCCAGCTTGATGAATTTCCCACGCGTTCCAGTTGCCCCGCAAACCTGGCACCAGAAGACCCCCTGGCAAAAGCTCAACTTATGCGAGGGGTCGATACCATGCGGGACTCTGGCGCATGGGGTTGCAAGCCGCTCCAGCTTTCTCCGTTCAGCCGTCGGGCGGGTGTTACACAGCGCACATCTGACACCTTTCGCGTCAGTGACGACCCGATGGGTCGACACCGCCGCAGCCCGCTCAACCTCGAGCGCCCGCTCGCGACCCCTGGCCTTAGCCTCAGACGCCCTCGCGGCCTTGGAGCTGGGGCCGTACAGCTCTGGCGCTCTCGACGCTATGTGAAGAGCCACGGCAACCAGGTGCTCCTGCACCTTGTGGGTTAGCTCATCGATCCTGCACACTTCTGCGACGATGTGACCAGGGAGTTGGGCCCTCCTAGCTCCTTCTTCCGCAGCTGCATCCGCAGCTCCATTGGCAAGCCAAAACAAAACTGGTGGGCCATCCTCCCTCTCTGGGGCTGGGCGGGTGTGGCTCTTGATTTTGACCATGCTGATCTGCCTGTCACCCGCCTCAGCCCAAAACCTACGCCACGGTGCAACATTGACTGGGGGCACATAGTTCCTGCCCCTCAAAAAGGTACGAATGGTGATGGAGGAATCCACCGCAAAGGTGACAGCACCCCTGGTGTCTCGCAACGCTTGGATGACTCCTTCTAACTCGGCGAGCGGTACTGTCTGCTTATATCCTGGGAGCGGCCCATGGCCCCACCCCAACATACTGTCCCCTAATGATGGAAAACCCCCAACCGCATCGCCTCAGCCTGGGCTCCGACGAGTACGCTCCCCCCGACCCGTCCGTCCCGACGACGACACCCCCCTCCTCCAAATCGATCGGCCCAAGCTCGAGGCTGGGGGAAATGACAGGGTCGCTTGGGACATCTACCAGCGTGGGGCCGCTGGTCCGCCTCAAAGGCGGAAGCCCCCTCAACCAAAAACACGGAAACTCCTCCCACCCTTCTTCCGCTTGCTGAAGCAGTTCGGTGTGGGAGCCCTCAATCCCGTCATTACACGGGCACGCCCAAAGTTGGTGAAACGTGGTTTCCGATGGGGCACCACAGCGGGGGCGAGCGGGGGTGGCCCAAGACCTGACCTCCTCCGCCTCCTCCTCCTCGGCGGCGGGTGGCATTTCCTGCCTGGCCTCGAGGTCGAAAAGTTCGTCAATGTCCATCTCTTCCTGGAAGAGTCCTGCGGCGCACGAATCCCCGGCGGCAGGGTCGGGCGCTGGCAGGTCGGAGGGAAACGAAGAGGGCGCAGCAGCAGCATCGGCAGCGGAGGACTCATCAGGAGGACGGGGACGGAGGGCCTCCTCTCCGAATCTGCGTGCTGCTGGCCAGAGACTACCAGTGAGAACCATGCGCAGGACTGCGGCTCTGTCCCATTGGTTCCGTCCCTCCAACCGCTTCAGGTGGCGGTAGGGAACTGTGAAATCGGCACTGAATTCGAAGCCCTTCCCAAGGTGGTGCTGAGAGGCCTTGCCCCAGATCTGGGCATCAAGCGAACCTCCAAGCTCGAAATCTATGAGCCTCTCGGGGTCACAGTCTCTCAGGTCAAACCTCTGCTGCTCTGGCGAAAGCCACAACCACGGCTCAGGTGCCGTCCAATCTATGTCGAGAAGGCAAGCAATGACGGCAGAGACAGGGCCTTTGACATGGCTCCATCGACGCTTGACGTGTCTCAACTGCTGCCAGGCCTTTTTCCACGCTAGGGCAAGAGGGCGCTCGAATTGCTCCAGCACAGCTGGCAGAAGATCGTACCACATGCGAAAAACACGCAGCCTGCCAAAAACGAGTGGGTCTTGATCGGACCCTA